CATCTTAGCTTGCCGCGAATCAAACGTATATAGATCTAAATGTAGGTCAGGCTCTATCAAATAAGGGGGGTGGGAACTACCGAAAAAGCGCCACACTTTCAACCTTCATACTTCACTTTCACTTTCACTTTCTTCCTTCTGTCATTCCCGATGCCGACTGGCATTATCATTAGATCTAGGCTTTTTCAAAGGGAATCTAGATCTAGTCAACCAGCCAGCTAATATGTAGCCTACTTCATCCAGTGCACATTTTACTGGGAGGATTTAAACAGAAACCATAAAAACAATACCTTCCACAAGCAAGGCCAACGCGGAAATAAGGAACACAGAGACCTCAAGCCTCGCCATTTTGTAAACTGTAAGTAAACACAAAGTAGCAACAAAATACGTCATCAATTTATGTGCTCCTCTTCTCTTCAAGCAAAGATCTGATGTAAATCCAGATCGCTTTCGTTCATTGGCCGGAAATGCCGAAAATTGACCCAAGGACCAGTGAAAATGTGGAATTTCGACTGCCATTATTCTTGGTAGGCGAAAGAGATTTCTAGTCTCAAACTCTTAGTAAACTAACTACAATCATGTTCTGTAAAAAATAAAGTAAAACTCTTACTAAACCAACCAGTTCTGTCAAAGTAAAAGTAAAACTCTTACTAAACCATAGAGTTACCCCCTTTTAAACTACCTATGTACTAAACTAACTAGATCTAGTTCTATCAATCCTGTCCTCATACAGTATGAGTTTATTTGATCACGGACTCCCAAAGTCAACGTCCATGACATTGGTCAGTGGAATGGGCCGAGTCCTGCTGGTAGCAGGCCTTGCAAACCCTCTAAAAGCAGTCACACACATGCTTGGCTGGCATAGCGTTAGCGCGGCGAATAACCAGGTCAGCAAGAAAATTATTTACTGACACACCAACACAGACGGAACACACGGGCTCTGCAGTTACTAGTTACTGCAGTTTCTGGCCGCTTGTTTGGTGACTCTTGTGGATTCGCAGGAGGCCTGTAGTTCATACAACAAGCTCTATAATAACAGGTTACAGATCTGATACGTGGAGACGAAACAACCTCCCTTTTCTTCCTTTTTTCTCATGCATACAGTTAAATTACTAGCGTTTTAAAAAAAGAAAATACACACACTACAGAGAAGGATAGGAATTACCTGAATCACTGACGAGAAAGTAATAATACCGTACGTGGAGTATACTAGGTGAGTTTGGACCAGTTTCATCTTATAAGATTTTGGCCTGGGCCTATAATATTATATATATATATATACATATATATATATATATATATATATATATATATATATATATATATATAATGTGACGTTACGATAAAGTGTTGGCACTGTCTGCTTGGAAAGGAAATAATGCATGTATTATGTAGCCTAGTGATGCCACCGCACATATACAGTTGTCTTTATGAAACGTTCCCATTGTAGGAAAGCTTTTCGTGTGAGGCCTATTATCTGTTGTATCTGGTTCTTTATCTCACTTTGATCACCGTGTCAAACAAGTCCCATTTCGACCCTGTGGGCACAGATGTAGTTCTACTTATATACATTCCAGACAACAAACGATCCGATATGATCCCCTTTTCTCTACCCAGCCAGTCCCGTAAATTATTAGGTCTTAGAACTGAAAATGTAGGACACGGAACTCGCCTTTCTTTTTGGTACAAAGTGTTGTTGCTGGGGAACTGTATGCATGTGTGTGTGTGTGTGTGTGTGTGTGTGTGTGTGTGTGTGTGTGTGTGTGTAATGTGTGTACATAATAATTTTTTAAAAATTATTATGCATGTATATAATAACATATAATTTGTGTATGTGATGTGTGTGTGTGTGTGTGTGTGTGTGTGTGTGTGTGTGTGTGTTTGTGTGTATTGTGTGTGTGTGTCTGTGTGTGTGCGTGCGTGCGTGCGAGCTTGTGCTTGTGTACTAGAATATTTATAGCTTTTTATTCTATTACTTTCATTTGGTTTACATACTGATAATTCAATTATGGTGGGTTTTTTTCACTTCTTCCATTGACGACGTCATCGCCACTGTTTGTTTTGTTCTATTTTTTCAATTAACATTATGGGCTCTAATACATGTACTTTTTTTTCTTTTCTTCCATAACAATTCTTTGTATAGAACCGTGATGGCGACCCCTAAAATTCCCGAGCGCCAAAAGCAGATCGTTGTCACAAGACTAGGGACAAACTTCCGGGATATCACAGAGGTCCAGACGGGCTCAGTTCTGGCACCGGGCGATCAGCAGATTCTGGTTTAGAACAAATACCTGGGCATTAACGCCACGGACGTGAACTACAGCGCGGGGCGGGAGATAGACGTCCTGCCTGCCTTCATGGCCGGAATGCTAGGTCTTGGGGAAGTTCTGGCGGTCGGGAAAAACTCCAAATTTCAGCCTGGACAGTTTGTGGCGTATCTTCACTACGGCGCGTTTTCGGAATACGTCGTTGTTGATGACGGTGAGGGGATTCTGGTACCTTCGCAGGACGCTGCTTTCATGAGTATTGCCCTTAGTGGTCTCACCGCCTCGCTGGCTTTTGAGAAAGAAGGGGATCTGAAGCCGGGGAAGAATGTTCTAGTGACTGCTGCCGCGGGTGGAGCAGGGCAGTTCGCCGTACAGATCGCTAAACTGGTCGGGTGTCACGTGATTGGCACGTTTTTCAGACCCGAGAAAGCCGAGTTTCTCACGAGTCTGGGCTGCGATAGAACAGTTAACTACAGAGAAGAGAAACTGGATGAAGTTCTGAAAAAAGAATATCCAAAAGGTGTGGACGTGGTATACGAAGGGGTAGGGAAAGAAATGTTTGACGCCGCGCTCAAGAACATCGCCGAGTTCGACCGGATCATCGTGCTGGGGCAAATCGCGGCGTACGGAGATAACGACAGCAAGAAACAATTCTCCGAGCTTTTGACCGCGTCAGAGGTGTCCATCCCACTGGCCCTGCTGGTCAAATCGGCCAGCTTGCGTGGGTTTTGGTTGACCAGTTACATGGATGACTTTCCACGTCACATTCAGAAATTGTCGGAGCTCTACGAGCAGGGGAAGATCCAGGTGAACACGGACAAAGGAGGGACTGCGGAGAACGGACCGTTTGTGGGGCTAGAGAAAATCGTGGACGCGTTGGGTCACATGTACGCCAGGAAAAACGTGGGCAAAGTGATTGTGGAGCTTCATTAACCCTTTCCGTACGTCTTGTTTTACTATCGTATCTATACGACGTGGGGGAACTCTGTGCCACCACTTAACCCTTTCCGTACGTCGTGTTTTACTATCGTATCTATACGACGTGGGGGAACTCTGTGCCACCACTTAACCGTATCCGTACGTCGTGTTTTACTATCGTATCTATACGACGTGGGGAACTCTGTGCCACCACTTTCCGAAGAGGAAATTTACTCGTGAATCCGATCCGTACGCTTTGCTTACCAGTCTGTCAAAATGATTTTTTGAGAAAGTTTCAAAGAGATCTTCGCACTAGAAGTATTCTAAAATGTGAAGAATACAACCCAGGGGGTACAGAATGACCCCAGGGCGTACGGATAGGATTAAGTGATCATACAGTCGACTCCTTGGATTGGAATCCACAGGGTATGAGATCAAGATGAAGACCGCGTGGAACCTGGAGAAAAATCACAAGAACTGATGTACAGAAAAGTGGGAAGACATGGAATAACATCAAGAGGCTAGCCCAGGATAGAGAAAGGTGGAAAGTGTTTGTCCGTGGCCTATTCCCTGGTGCAGGATGAGAAAGGCAATGATGATGTTGATGACAGTCGACTCCACTTGTGTTGAACTTGCTTGAGCTAGTTGATCTTTGTTTAAGTTGATCTTTTTCTCGGGTCCCAGCACCTCTTTTTCTTTGCAGGTCCCAATTACGGTTAAGTTGAACTTCGGAAGAGTTGATGTTATTTTTTTCCCCTCCCCCGTTGACGACATTAAGTCACCTGTAGTCGACTGTAGTAGACTTTGTTACATCAACCAACGGACCTCAAGGTCCGTGCTGTTTATTATGAGGCTGGTGTATAATATAACGTACCTCAAACAGCCCGTAATGCTACCTCTCAGCGCGGGAGGCCAATTTTAAAACTATTTTCCTTGGCGTTTATTATACAAAATGCTTGTTTAGTGTAACATACTTTAACATAAATAAAAAGTTCAGTTCAAGTCCATTAACCACTTGTATTTTTGTTATGTATGTGCTTGGGGAAGAAAGTTACGGGTTTAATAAATGTATGAGTGAAAGTGTACATAATGTAACAGAGGTCTGTGTTTATTGTGAGGCCTGTGAATAATAAATCAAAGGGTTCGGACATCTCATGCGATTACCAACACACCATCCAGCACAACGTTCCTACATTATAAAAAAAATTCGATGGCAACAAGGCTAGAGGTCGACCGAGAAAAACCTGGATAGATGGAGTCTGGGAAACACTAACAACTCACGGCATCTCTCTAATCCAAGCTCTCCGGCTGGTAGCAGAGAGACGTCTCTTTCTTCCCGCGACACCCAAATGGGTATAAGCTGTGGATAAATTAAGAGAAAAAAGAGTGTATAATATGAGTGAAAGTGTATACATGTAACAGGGGTCTGTGTTTATTGTGAGGCTGGTGAACAATATGAGTGAAAGTGTATACATGTAACAGGGGTCTGTGTTTATTGTGAGGCTGGTGAACAATATGAGTGAAAGTGTATACGTGTACATGTAACAGGGTTCTGTGTTTATTGTGAGGCCATTGTACAATAAATCAAATGGTTTGGACATCTCATGCGATTACCAACACACCATCCAGCACAACGTGCCTACATGATAAAAAAATTCGATGGCAGCAAGGCTAGAGGTTGCCTGAGAAAGACCTGGATAGATAGAGTCAGAGGGCCCCTTGAAAGAGAAAGGCGGTACGCTGTACCCAATCTTTGTGAACGTTATGTATTGTCATGAATATATTTGTATTATATATAAGATGAGATATAAGATATATCTTTATTGTCCAGATCCTGGAACATAGGTTTGGTGTTTCACACACGTGCACACACACACACA